CTGAACCCTAAACTCAAATATTTAATTAAGTACAACTACTTTGTTTTTAATGAAAGAAAACACAGATTCTCCCCTTCAGCAGGAAGTGGTGGTGCGGTCCAATTATCCCTCTTTGCATTTAATGGTTTCAAACCCTGCCCACCACTTTTTGTCTGGCAACTCCCCGGGATCATGGCAGGTAAGAAGAAACAAAGGTTTGTCAAAAATAAAACTAAGTAATGAACTGGTATGAATACATAAGTAAACTAAATGTGCACGCTTACAAACAGAACAAATGTATCCAAACCAATCAACACAAACGTGTGTTACTGTGTTCAAAGGAAGAAATGAAAATGCACAAGAGTTACTGACTTTAGAGTGTGGCCATGGGTTTGGCCATCACAGTAACCCTATCCCAGCCAAGGTGAACTGGATCTTCTGCTGATAGGGGCTTTTGAACCACTCTGTCTGTCCCTCACCCAGGACCACTTTGCCATGGGGGTAAAAGCAAAAGACAAGGTAGCCCCTGGGTTCCCTGAGAAACCCAAACCCCTCCACCGAGATAATGTAGTGATTCAGCAGGGGGATGGTGTAAACAACCAGCATAAAATATTGCAAAGGCCAAACTATTTCTTTTCTTTGACACAGTAATTTGTCTAGTAAAATCTAACACCACATGTTCAACCTGCTTTGTGATTATGAGTTTGATCTTAGTCTGCATTGTGTTGTGTTTGTAAATAAATTTTAACAAACAATTTGTAGTGCAGTGGCATGAACAATACATCTGTTTTTATTAGTGATTTGTTTGTTTTTTATAAACAGCCTTTTTTTTTAACATCTCACTATGTGCAGTGTAATAATGGAGATTACAATAACACAATATTTTCACATGTCTGTGTTTTCATGCAAAGTGCCACAGGCCGGAGTTTGCTCGTAATAATAATAATACTAAAATGAAGCATGATAGTAATAATAATCTTACCCTTTATTATGTTTGCTTTTTTCTGGATACAGCAAACAATGAAAATGAAGATCACCAACAGAAGAATACCTGACAGTGAAAGAGAGGAATAAAATTGTACTTTATTTGTAATTGTACGCATGTGAAAAATAGTAAATGTGTTTTAGTTCAACAAGACTGTAACATAACATACCTGCTCCAGCGCGCACTGGAATACAGACATAAATGTCACATACCTCAGGGAAAGCTTCAAAACAATACAAGTAGAAAAATGTATTTATTAGATATGTATAATAAAATGGCCATTTTAGCCATCAACAGACAGTTGACACCACATAATATTCACAAGGCTTTAAGCATTTGTGATAAACTGGCTGATTCCTGAAACACTGCAAGCAATGGGCGTGTTTACCACAACTTCAGCTTTTTGTTAGCTTGTCCTTCAGATTTTCTTTCAACTCATCTTTGTTAAGCAATTTATGTTGTTTGTCTTTCTTTAGAATAAATTATAGTTGACAGAATAATAATTAATAAATTATTAATAAATTATTATAATGAAATGAAATGAAATTAAACATTTGAATATAAGTGCAAAAATAATATATGTACAATACAAACAATTTCTCAAAGTTTTGCTTTTGATAAGACAAAATCTTTGTGGGGTTTTTGTTTTGTTTTTGGTGATTGTGTTAAAACCATGTTAAAAAAAACAGATCTGATCCATAAGCTCAGTAATGCTGTGGGTATCGAGTTGGACTCCCTTAAGGTGGTGTCGGCAAGATAAGGACAATGCTGGATGCACTCCTTGACTTACTGGCCAGTCACAGGAGCACGTTCAAAAACAGACTGAGATTACCCAAATGCACCACTTCACAACTCAGGAAATCACTCCTGCCTGTGGATATCGCCCTGTACATCTCCTCCATCTAATAACAGTCACAGTGCAATAGCTATACCCATTGGCACATAGCACAAAAAAACAAGTTTTACAGTTTAGAGTAAAATGTCAGTTATATATATTTAAGCTCTGCAATATTCTGGATATTTATAAATGAGCTATATGTATATATTAGAGCTATTTCTTATATTTTTTAACTCTGTAATACACTGTATTATTTAATTTAGTTCAGTCTGTTAGTGTTCTCATAGTTTTGCAGCAACTGTAACCAAAAAGTATTCTGATTCTGATTAAATAGAAAATGCTGCAAAAACTTTAAAAAAAAGAGTTAAAACGATATAACAGAAACAGGAAAAAACTGGGACACAAAATTTACTTGAATCTCTCTATCCAAAAAAATATAATGTACAATATGATACAACTTCTAAACTGAAAAAATCATTGACAATCAGCAGATATTTTTTATAATTCCAAAGAGTGTTTCAGGAAAAGCTTTAAAATAAAAGGAAAAGAAAAGTATCATGTTAGCATGTGAGCTCAATACAATGACTACTTCAGTTCATGAATATTTGGAAAAGGCACATTTGAACATTTGTACAGCTGATGGTAAATAATACTTACCAAGCTTATAGCATTCTTGTTGAACAGGCTGACTGATCTGTGAGCTGACACGGTTAGAAGCATTACAATAAAAATTGGCATTTAGCACGTCTTTGGCTACTCTCGACACCATCTTCCCTTTTTCTGCCAACTGTTTACCATCCATAAACCATTCGACCTTCTCATCCTGTAGGAAAAAACACAATTTGTTGATTAGATGAAGGTTTAGAGTTGAAGTCTAACATGAAAAACTCAACCTGGCTAAAATTAGAAATATAATAATCTTTTCATACATTTTAGGTAATTTCCAGCCTATATAATTAAATAATACATAATAGAGAGACCCAAGCCTCACTGAAACAACATCTCTGAGTAAATGCTTGTAGACAGCACGCTTCAAATCATGCTCTGGTTTCAGTGGAGGAAAAATGAGGCCTTTGTCTACAGATTCTTCAACAGCTTAGTTATGAGTCAGTTATTGGTAGAGTACTCTAACTTAATTGTACCTGAAACAATAAATATTGTACTCACCTTAATAACATTGCAAGTAAAAGAGACTTTTGTCTTGTCACCTGCACACATCACTGTTACTTTGGGCTTCTGCACACGGTCTGAGTACAGAAAATTTCTTTACATCAACATTATATAAACTACTGCTGATAATGCTTTTCTACAATAACCAACACTGTTGATTGATAAGACTGAAAAGTGACGTCATAATAAAACCAAACACTCTTAATGACAAAGTATGACTAAGACAGCTTAGCACACTTGCTTGTTGTGATATAAGTAGTACAAACACAATAAATACACATATGATGTTATTTTCCTTACCTAATACACACAAACGCACACTCTGTAAGTTTCCCCCCACATTTAGTCCTTCTTCATTGGTAACCTCTGGGATGTATCGTCCTGACTTGTCTTTGGTGAGTTGTGTCAGCTTTAGTGATCCAGTTGAATCAACATCATCATTTTTCCCTATGATCACCTGTTTCCGTCTGCGATAAAAGATTATTCTTGTGTCCTTGAACCATTTCAGTGTACCTGATTCCTTCAACTCATATCTAAGTGGCACAGTTAAGCTTGAGCCTGTTGCAGCATAAACACAATCATCCTGAGAGCCTTTGAAACAGAAAAAACGGTAAAAAAAAAAATCAGATGAAAAAATTAGAACAAGTATGAAGAGCATATATATATATGTACATATATAAATATGTATATATGTCCAGTTATGGGAATAACGGCGTTACAAGTATTGGCTTTACTTTTTTCAGTAACGAGTAATCTAACTAATTACTATTTCTATCGTTACAACGCCGTGGCATCTTACTGAATGGAGAACACCTGATTGTTATGTAAATAATTTGAAATGGTTATTTTAAAAAGGGTAAAAGGTAAATGGATGCAAATAACTTTGATGTTTGCAAAACTTATGCACATGATTTTAAAATTGACAATTTTTATTTGCATTTAAAGTTATGAAATATAATTCAATAAACATGTTTGCTTTTTGTCTGATTTTAGATCAATTGTGTTAATACAGTATGTCAAAATGAAAAAAATAACTGTAAATTCAGACATGTGAGGTTCAGCTGAAAAGAACGATACCAAACAAGGCAAATAAACAGTTTTTTAAAGGTGAAATGTAGAGGAAACATCAAAAGAAGCTAAAAATGGCCAATTATACCCTGGACCCCAGAGGGTTAAACTTT